TTTATTTTATGACATGGATGACGACTGTATGGTTGTTGTGCCGGCGTACAAGAACATGAAGTGCGACTCAAAACTTAGCCGATATTTGGACCTGATGTGTAACCCCTTGAAGCCGTGTTGTAAAGAAAACAAGATGTAAGAAAACCTTTGTTGAGCTTCCTTCGCTGTGAGTCAGGTTGTAATATTGTGCATTTAGATGTGAGCTGATGAACGACATCTCGCCTATATCGTCCACTGCCGAGAACGCAGTTCTGAGCCGTCTGAAGCAGCATCGAAAGTGCTGGTGGTTCAAGAAATTGCTTCCGGCAAACAGTACGGTGTCCATCGACGACGTGTTCGATTCGAAATACAAGCATGACCTTATTCGGAACGTCTTGCTAAATCTTTAACGTTAGCCGGTCCACGTAGAAAGTGCACTGTTAGTATGGCAGTCGTGATTGATTGATGTATTAAACAGTTGAACATGTGTCTTTGCTGTGATTGATTGGTTGGAAAAATGTACCTCGCTAGGAAGCGACCATTAATCCATTGGCATAGCATTTCTGTTAATTTGAACCGCGAATTTTCAGAGATCACGTAGATCATGCCAGAAGGTAGTCCCAGATAGCGATGGTTGTTTACAGCCTACCGATAGAAGCTTAACTATAGCAGAGTACATATGCTACGTCGTTGAAGGGTTCATATGCTTGGTAAGTTTGGCTAAGCTGAACGTCATATCGTGATCTGTTATCTATATATAAGGTGACCGTTCATGTAACGAAATAGATGAAACCATATGTTAAGGCGTGATTTCATCTGGGTTCCTTGTGTGGAGGTTTTTTAAAAGTTTGTCCCCATATTTTGAATCCTCTCACGTATAGAACTGAAGATCTTCGAGCGGTTGATCCTGAGATATTGTTTCTAACGAGGCGCATGCGCATATTGAATTAAATGGCTGGTACAATGGTTACGCTACAGCGACAACGATTGACCGCTAATAGCCAACGTATAAAACCCTGAATAGCCCTAGATTAGCCAAAGAAGGGCATTACAAATTTTTCACCATTGAGCTCATTACGAATCCAACCAAGAGGTTGAAACAAAATCTTGATTAAGGCATTTCTGTAAAATTTTCATGGTTGTTTCTTCTGCATCATTTTGCCTCTGTTCCACGCACTTTGAATGCAATAAAGGCCTTCTGTCTAAGATCAAAATTTAAGGTGTCTGCTCAGTTAAACGGCTCTGACCTTGTGTTTTCTATTTTCACTCATCTTCTACACAATGTGCACTACTGTTCAATCGTGATCGCTGGAAAACAGTCTGAATTACATAATTTATATTCATGTTCCATCGCTTTCTCGAAGCTGACGAGCAAAACGACCAAAGACCATCGTGTAGGACGCCTTACCATGTTTTCCGTTTAAATCCTGGTGGCGCAGTGACAGTGCCTAAGAGGTCGGCTTCTAACTCCAGAAATGTTCAATTCGTTTCCTTCAGAGTTCAGTGTTTATCTTAATTACTAACTCAAATCATTAATGAATTTGTTTCATTCCTGGGTTGCTCGTTTTGTAGAAAACCGGACCCAGAACCGAGAGATCCGGGGTTTGAGCCACGGTAGCGACACTCGCTTTTCTTTCTGAGGTTGATAAATGACCAACACGTTGTGGGTTGAAAACAGGAGACTGTAAGTTACGGTATTCACAGCTACTCTGTACTGTTCAGCTTGCTGCACGATTGTCTACTGGAAGCTAACGAACTGATGAATCTTTTAGAAGAGCTAAAAAGTTCGACGACTTTCGTAGTTCGATAAAATGACTCAAAGGATCAGTGAAGAGATTCCAAAGATGTTGCCTTATGGGAGTCTATACAAGGCCGAAGAACACCCAGTGGCCAGTTCAAAAGCTGGCATAACCTACATGAAACAGATTTGCTCTCGAAGAAGAGTATCTTCTTTGTAGAAACAGTTAATGTCTTTTCTGCACGTCGGACATAATTAATCCCCAGTTTGAGTCGGCATAGCTCAGTAACCCTGAACGGTAATGATGACAACAAAACTCTGCCCTTTAACTAAGACCCTTCCTGCTGATGACAAAAATAGAGACCAACCCGGACCATCAAATTCATAAAAGAAGGGTGACCGAAATGATCTGATCATAAGCATATAAGGAAGATTGACAAATTTTCCATTCATATATTTCTTTCCCTTTGTAATAACTGCCGTAAACGGGTTACAAAATCAAATTTTGGTGATTCAATGAACTTTTGCCATTGATTATGATTTCAATCGTAAGAGTTGTCACCCCATCAGCAATATCTCAGTTTTTGGGGTATCTACCTTGTCAACAAGGCAGAAAAATTGAATGAAAAAGAACCTTTGAAGATGTGACGGGTTCGAATCTCGACATGGCGTTCTGGCGGGGCTGTTATGCGAATCACTCAAACATAAGAAGGATGAGTCATGTAATACCGCAAGCCCTTTTCCAGTCTTCTGCGAGAACCACTATGCCACTATGAAGCGTCATTTTTTTGAAAACAATCAAAAAGACGCATCAATAATCTAGAAGCCGATTAGTCTATCGGTGAATCGTGGCAGATGTAAGTGTACAAATCAAACTCAAAATGAGTGTCACCTGCCACATCTGAGCGGAGCGTCGGTGGCGCAGTCAAATTTCAAATTTTAACCAACAAGGAATATCGGCTTCCTGTCACTTTAATGACTGTTGTCTATTTTGACGATTTGTTTCTTACAAAGCAGATATTGCGTTACTGATCTCCATTTCTGTGCCATCAGACCATGAGTGATTTATTTTTTAAAGGCAGAGTCTACAAGCATCTGGCAAACGCAGCATGTACTTTTCTGTTTCCTTCCAGTAAAGTGCTACTCATTTGTAAACCACCGAAAGAAGGGTGAGTGAGTAACTCTGACCACTGCTTCAAATCAGGACTTATCGGTTATGACTTCGACCTTCTACCAACTGAGCAACGTCGGAACAACAAGGATGAGGGAACACAGTCTCGCATGGAATCCAGATTGTTTGGCACGACGATTTATTTGTTCCGGCATACCTCAAGGAGCGTGTTTAAATGGGTGAAGAAGTCTGCCAGCAACCGCATAATGGAATGGCTGATTGCGTATGCATACAGTTCGATCAAGATTTTCCCGCGCGGAACCTTGTTGAACGCCGACGATTGGAAAGAGCTCTGTGAATTTTCCGGCATTTGTCCAATTCTTTTATGACACAAGCGATAGTATCATCAGTGGAAAGTCTTTTTCGGTGCTGCCATAGGTCGGTAACGCTTTCGATCAACTTTGCCTTTTTGAACGTCACATGACCAACTATCACATTTCCCGACATATGCAAAACATTTTTAATCATTGATAATTTTTTGTACTGGATTATACATATTTTAAACTTAACTTGTAGTGAAACATATTTCTTTAAACTTTAGAGATATAGGGTAAAACAATATTACTATTCGAGATGGCTGAAGAAGAAGATTTTCAGGTACTTTTTCCACAGTACTTTAAGCCAGGGAAGACGAAGACGTGAAATGGAATGCTGTGAGACTGAATTTAGACTATTACTTAGATTATTTTGTGTATGCGGTGATGTATGTATTCACTTGGTTGAACAGAATTGTGTTGCAGATGTGTCTGTTTTGTAGAGAATGTTGAAATTATAATAAACTGGCGCGAAATATCGCTGAAAATAAACATTTTTCAGAGTGTTATTCCACATCGCTGTTGCATGCACTTATTTTTTACGTGTGATGGCTTCCAAAATCCTCAGAAATCTGAGGCGAAACTTGATGTGGCTTGCAAAGTCGAGCGGTATGCATCATCGACACGTTACACCGTAATTTACACAATCAAAAAGACGCTATTCGATCATAGGATCGATCTGAGCAGTTGGAGCGATGTGTGATATAAGACTATGTACCTCTGTTTAACATATACTCTGTTCTCTAGGGTGTGTGCACACCAATTGAATCTTTACTAAGGGAAATGCATACAAGGCGCCATAGAGCAACGTCGAACATTCTTAGTTTCTGTTTATGACTCACCTTTAGTATCGGTGTAAAATGTTTCTAACCGAAAACCAAACCCCTGTCACATTTTCTAGACCAGGTAATTAG